GCAAACACAAAACATATAAGTAAGAAGGCCGTTGACGAGGTATTTCTTGATTTCTATTTTAAAAACAGAGATGGTGGCACTTTTGACTCTGCCCTATATCACTGACCCYCTTTGCAATGGAAAAACTAGAAAACAAGAGTGCAAGTGCCCATTTTTACATAATATTGGACTTATGAACTAGACACAAGTTTTGGGGATACCTACAGTATTGGGACTTGTCAAAAGGGGACTGGACACAATCATTAAGGGGATTTCTAGGGGACAAGGGGCCTGGACAGGGTCACTAAGGGGATGTCTATGGACAAGGGGACAGGACAGAATCACTAAGATATCTAGGGGACAAGTCACTAAGGGGATGTATGGGGGTCAAGGGGACAGGACAGGGTCACCAAGAGGATGTCTGGGGACAAGTCACTAAGGGGATGTATGGGGGACAAGGGGACAGGACAGAATCACTAAGATATCTAGGGGACAAGTCACTAAGGGGATGTATGGGGGTCAAGGGGACAGGACAGGGTCACCAAGAGGATGTCTGGGGACAAGTCACTAAGGGGATGTATGGGGGACAAGGGGACAGGACAGAATCACTAAGATATCTAGGGGACAAGTCACTAAGGGGATGTATGAGGTACAAGGGAATTGGACAGATGTGGAGAGGCCAGTCCTGGATTTTGGTGTGAAAGAACTGTCCTGATTCTGGATAATATGTTGGATACAAACATACCGGTGTTCATGTCCCCAGCCAGCGATAGTCTCCAAGATTACTTTGACTCTGCTAATAATACTCATTCCACTTACAGCATGAGATTCAAATTTTGTTTGTATTGCTGACTTTGATATGCATTCCTGGTGGAAATTAGAGAAGCTTGTCAGATAAAATAACCTTGAATTGACGATTTTCACCCATTCCCATGAGATTCAAAAGATAAAAGACCAGCAGCCATTTTGGAGGAATGAACAATAGATACTAATAAGAAATGCTTCGTTAAAGTTCCTCCAAGACGGCCGCTGTGTCGTAACCTGCAAACGAATAATATACAGCAAATAAGAATTAAGAAGTTTCCCTTCAGTAGCATTTTGAGGTAGAATGAGAGTTGACGGCCATACACTACTGTTGAAATTCAAGAATGTCTTGACAAGCTTTCTCTGGTTGCCGGCATCACTCTTGAATTTCAACAGTAGTGTAGCCCCCCTCGACTCTCATAATACAGCAAATAAATTGTCCATGTTTAAACTTAAAAGGAATATTTTATTTCAAGACAAATTTGCATAATATGT